TTTAAACCAATCCTTCGCATTAGTACGCCTGCTAACGAGTGAAAAAAGAAAAAAACTTAAAAACTATTAGTATTTCAGCTGGTACACAAACTGTAAGGAATCCGATCAAAACGATTTCCTTATAATTCTTTTTCTTGGTCTACTGTATGGATTGCACTGAAGGATACGGATAAGGTTAACTGCACCCGACAAGGCTCATGAAACCTTCGTTCAGCGCTCAAAATATAAACTTCTGATGGATGCTTCATGAGTCGATACAAAAGCTTCATTTACCGGTTACATGCAGAAAAAGCTATTCAAACGACCATTTATATTTAAATAGTCTTTAATCACAAAAAAGTCACTTTTTCACGAATCCAAGTACGGCCAATTAGATGAAATATCGTCAAAAGTAAGCAGCGCTTAAGAAAACAAATTTTGAATTCTGTTGCTGTAAACGAGATCCCAAGACTTTCTTATTATATTATACAAGACCACTTCTTCCCCAACAAACAAAAAAACGGCAGCGAAAGGCACTTTAAGCACCACTACAAATCTGAATTTCTGACCACGTTACTGTGATTGGGTCAGTTTGCGATAAGGCTGTGAGTGAAATTTGTTCCCACATGTCAACTTTTGAATTTCTAAATCAACTGTGCGATTCGCTGTAGCGGAAAGCACCTGGGCTGGGTAAATCCCAACATTTCTTTATTGTGTCCGCCACTTTAAATATAAAGCTAAATTTGAGGAAGTTGAAGTTTGCGCCGGCCGTTTTTTGCAAACTTTTTGCAATTTCTGCAAGACATTCGGGTTCTCTGCTTATTTCACGTTTTTGAATGCTACTGAGACAGTTTTTTATAAGATCATAAGACGTTGTTGATCTCCCAAGTATTTTTCGCGTGATGTCCAGATTGGTTCTGGAAGTTTGTTCATAAAGTCAAGGTGCGACGATTTTTGGCTGAGATCACAGGTTGCAAGTACTCACTTGTAGCTTTTTTGAAGGATGCACATAATTTGTGGCTGCTTTTTTTTCTCAACTTTTTACTTGTCACTAATATGCGTTCCTTTAGGTAGCACAAGAAATGCGCTATCCGCTGCTGTCAATATGTTTAGGGCGTGATTCTTCTTTCATGTAGAAACATTAATTAAAAACAAGTGACGCAGTCTTTGTTAGTATTACGTTAGCTAAGTTCTAGTGGTTGGTTCCAACCGGCTACAGTAGGTATTCGTAGACTAAAATTGGACGTTTGGCCCTGAACAACTACCGATAAAAAACTTGAAACAGCTAACACGTTAGTGAATGACTACAGCCGAATAGTGGAAATTTACTGAGCGTGCAGGCCTGAATTTTTTAGTTATTTTTTTGGCGAAAAGAATGACTGGTATTCATAAAAATAATGCACACCGACACATTTATTCGACAAGAACGCAAGTCCAAATACGTTGGTGGGTGGTATTTGAATGTTGCTAAATCAGTAGTTAAGTAAGACGGACTTACTTTTCAAAATTTTTTTTATATCGAAAACTCGGGAGTCGACTGCTAGAAAAGATGCTTATTAGAGACCACGTACTATGAAAGGGAGTTTTGGTGGACAGCAATGCAAACACTGCAACAGGTTACCTTTTGTAAACAAAACTTCATTTCATTTTGGATTCGTTCAGTAGCTCTGAACAAAAAAATAATGATTTACGCCAGCTACTCAGTTTTAAAGAAGAAATGGCACAATCGCCTTCCTTCCCTTTGGATAGGCAGGAAACTGTTTCAGGTAGTTCCTGTGCTTATTCTTTGCCCATATCGCCATTTGAACAAACCCTGCGACAGTGAACATTAGCGCTGAAACAGATAACTGCATTAAACGAAGGCAAAAGACCCCACACCGGCATTGATTAAAAGCAAAAAAATTATGCAGTTAAAAAGGCAAACCTGGAAGAGACTGGGTCATTACTGCGAAGGAAAACCAAGCGAATACTTCATAAGTGTAATTTGGGCAACTAACATAGTCAAATAGTTTGGTTAATGCATTGGAATTTGGTAGAGGAATCTTGCGTTCTTTTGTGCCAGGAGGACGTAAATCTCTGAGTAGCAGATGTACGGAAAAATTTCCTTAAAAATTGTAAGCCGTGATGAAAATAAATTGTTCGGTTAAAGCTGCATGCACCACTTTATTTTAACATTTTAGAATAGAAGTCCGAATAAAGTTTGTTCTGCTATAAGAAAGTTACAATTCAAAAAAAAACCTGCATATGCCTGAATTCAATTAAAAATTGGTCAATTTGCAAATATTCAGCTCATCAAAAGCTTGAAAGAAAAATACATTGAAAGCTGACACATGACTATAACAACTAAAAAAAAATAATTAGAATTTGGTGCACATACCAAACACACTTACCAATCTCAGCCAACAGAAAACCGCCCAAACCAAAAAACGTTTGAAATCCGCCTAAAGTCGGCGGGGTATATGCAGGATGATTCACGAAGTAACTTATAAACGCCGCAAATCCCCAGTAGTACCCACAGTTCTATAAAATAAACAAGCATTTACAACAGCGAAAACTCCATATGGTCCAGTCAAAACTGACATTCCTCTCCAAGTCCAACTGCTTTAAAGCATCTCACAAAAAGTTTGGCAAAAAAAGCCAAATTTTCTTTGAAATTTCATGTTGCTCTTTTCCCAGTCTATCTTCGTGCAGTTAACGTACCTGAGTTGTGAATGGTTTCAGAAGTAAACTCCTCATAACTACGCTATACTTATTCTGGTACTGTTTTTATAGTGAAGAAACATATGAGAAAGATGCTTTTTTATCAAGCAAGGGAGCTCTTCAAAAGCTGACTAGCTTTAAAGAAGGCATAAAATCAAGAAAATGCTTAGTCTCTCTCATGAAGAATTGTTTGAAAATTTGTTTCTTGAACGAAAAGAAGCCGCTAAGAAAAGTTCAGCTCTTCACACTTCTATGTCAATCATTCATGTTCAGCCAAACGGCAGGTGGACATCAGAAAAGAATGAAATTAGAAAAACTTTGCACCATCTAATATTAGAGCAGTGGGGTGATGGAGAATTTCCTTCTGAGCGAACCACTTCAAGAACTTAGTGAATTTGATTTATAAATTCTATTAAAAAAAGGCGGACGTAAAATCCAGTACACAAAGAAGTTTTTTAAAGATACTCTAACACATTAATAACTGTGAAGTAAACCTTAAAAATGTTCATTAGAGGCATAGTTGCGTTGCTGAACCGATGTACGAACAATGTCTCCAACAACCGTTTTATATAATGAAAACTCCAACATATCAAAGCCAGTCTAACAGGGAACGTGACAACCGAGGAACCTAAAGCTCTGCATTACTTCACTTTACTAAGACGTGTTAAAAAAACTTTTTAAAACTTACTCGTACAAACCCCATACAATTAATTACTAAAAAAACTGAAGATTTGTTCATCATGATAAAAAATCCTTGTCTCAAATAATATCCAAGCTACTACATCATGCCATATACTTGCCAGCTTCGCTAAAGCGACAAAACCATTAAAATATTTCGTGCGCGTAGTGAAAATAAGCAATAAAAAAGTAATTGGTTTAGGACGACGGTAATAAGCATTGCTTTAATGCACCAAGTAACCCATAACCCATATGTCCTAAGTCCAACGGTGCGATGTCGCTTCGCCGTTACTTTACTAGCAAAAACTTTATTGCAAAGATCAACACCTCCTCCTCATTTAAAAAGAACAAAAAAACGGTAAAAATTACTGTCTCTTTTTAAAAATGCTTTACTATTTATAAAGGCTTTAGAAAAGAATTTTCACGAGCCTGAGATGCAATGGCTTCGGAAGGCATCCTAAAACTCAGATCAGAAATTTCTCTAGCATCAAGAACTGTAAAGAGCCAAAAAACCAACGAGAATTACCCGTTATCAAAAGTAACATACCACTCACAATTTATAAACTAGCTAGCTCTATGAAATAAACCAGTCTTCACAACCATTATTTTCTAGGCAACTCCTGTTAATCCAAACCCCAATATTCCACGAACTTCCTAAGAAACTGACTCTTACCTAAAACTGCATATTTCACTTACATTACTGTAAAAGTTTTGGTTTCAGTCGCGCATTTTTGAGACTGCAAGGGCAGATGCAAATTTCATGGGCTGCACATTATGGAACTACTATCAAAATACTTCGGCAGAAAAAAAAACCTCGGTTTTGCTTCCCGTGTAACAGAAAAAAGTAACCAGAAAAGTAAAAATTTATAAAATCAGACACCTTCTCCATAAAGCCATGCAGGTCGCAAATAAAACAGAGGGTAAATAAGAAGAGGTCCGGCGTATTCAGCAAGGAAAACCTAAAATACCAAATATAGAAACACTTAGGCCTCATTTTAATCTCATGCTATACGGTTTGCAACACAATGGCGTCTCCTCCAATCACCAACTTCCGTGAAAATAAAAAACATTTAAATTACACTTATTTTGACTAGTGTGGTCTGAAAATGATAACAAAAGTGTACCGTCTGCCAACCAATCTGCGGTCCCAAGTCACGAAGGAAAAGATTAGCGCCCTCAAAAGGCAGATTTAAACTGCTCAACACCACTGAATCACTGACTCCTTTACCAGCAGCAGTCAGACGAAGCTGTTGTCTTTCTACGGAAATTGAAGGCTCTGAATTCAGAATATCTCATGTCAACAAGCAGGAAAAGATTCAACATAATGTAAAGTAAAAAAAGGCTTGTGTAAAACAAGATTTAAATCTTTGAAAAATCGCTCGAGCAACTTATCTATTACAAAAATTAAAATTTTAAAAAGAGCGTCCTAGGAAGCTTTTAGCTGAATAAGCACACATCTCACTGAAATGCACTTGAAAAACCTGTCCATTACAAGACAAAAAATCTTGGAAAAGCGCCCGGGGGTCCTACTCACTGTAAAAACTAATATTTTTTTCGAAAGGCCCACTAAATAAGATATAGAAATTTAACATCATAAGAATTTTGGTGACGAGGCTTATAATTTTAAATTAGCTGCTCTAAGAAGCAGCGGCAAAAAAATGTTGTGAACAATTCTTACTTGTCTTTTGGGCAATAAGACGTTTCAATGAGTAGATGTTTTCCTCTGGATTCACCTGGAAATGATACCTTCAGTAATTTTATCTCAAATCGAAAATTTACAGTCACAATTCACTCCAGAAAAATAAAAAAAATGACTACAGAATGCGACAAGATCTAGCACGACAAAAAACGAAAAATGGGAGTTGATAATTCATACATTTTCAAGTACGGCGATCGAACGAGACGGTTTCTTGGCGTCAAAAATCTCGACATTTAGTAAAGCCATCCCTAAATTAGTTAATCTCATTTTTAACACACTGATAAGTTAAGTCGCAAATCTCGGGTTATACAAATACAAAAAACTGTTTCTGCTAATATAATCCAGAAAATACGATTTTACATGTTTGCCAGTAAATTCTCTACAAAGAACTAAAGTAATTAGACTTTCTTCGCTGCCAGGGTAAAACTCATCAGCAAAAATAAGAGTAAACATGAACTCATATCCCTGCCAAACCAAAAATACCGGGTATTAGGATTTTACCTTCTAGAAATTATGAAACTTGAGGACAAATCAAAAATATAAAAATGCAAATTGAAAAAGCAAACATCTTTGGTTCTATAAATCGCAAAAGTGTTAGAAAAATAAAGACCAGTTTTTTTATGTCTGGTCATTTGAAAAGTAGTATTGTTCACTGAAATCAGTATAACAAATAAGAAAACTGTTATGCATCTGGACCTTCAAGCGAAATAATAAAACTCATTTCCGACTAATTGCTGTCTTTTCTTTTCCCAGCTTCTTCAATTTCTCTTATTACAGTGTGTAAAATCAGCTTTACTATACTGCTTTTAAAAAAAGTCAATAAACACTAAATAACGGAGTACAATTTTTCCTTAACGAATGAATGAACCAGAGGAGCGTGCTGAAGCATGATTCAAAAGAACAAAACCAGACGTACGTTGTACAAAACATACTTCGCTCATACACAATATAATACAATAAATAAATTTCATTTTTATCCTCCGGTCACTTGAAAACACTCTTTCTACTGATCGCACCTTCTGCCTCAAATTCAAGCAAGACGCAGTTGTTACAAATGAGGAGCAAAAAGTTACTCCATTAGCACGTTTTAGATTTCAAAGGTAACATTTATCAGGTCCTCTTAATTTTCTAAATGTTCATTCCACTAAATTTAACGTTGCAGTGATGTTTCGCGACCCTCGCATTTTGCTTTAGGAATTTCTAACCCTATTCTTCAAGAACAAAACCAAATTGGTAACCTTAATATTCTCAGCCATCTCAACAGTTTTCATGCCTCTATTAAATAAAGTCGGAGGCAAAAGAAATAGGTAGAGGACTTTTTGAAAGGTACAAATAGCAAAAGAAATAAATATCAGTCAAAGAAAAAAAACGCAAATTTATTTTCAGCGACACCTAAAAAAGCAGACACTTTGTAGCACAGAACGTAGCAGGAACAATGATCACCCAGTACAACTTTTAACTGGCACAAAACAACCGAAAATGTCTACAATCTTTTTTAAAAGATAAAGTAAGATAGTTAAAGCTAGGTCGTGTTTTAAGCATTGTCTTAAGCATGTACAGAGATCAATCGTCTAAGCAATATGGGCAAAACAGTCAA